AACGAACTACGAGCGACGGCTAAAACCTCTTCAAGGTCACTCAGGAGGGCGACCTTGACAACATATGTCAAGGTCAAGGTCATCGGGGCTGGCTTCCCTTCATCGATATATTTACCATTCCTTTTTGTTTGCGTAGCAAAAGATGGAACGTGAGAATCGCGCGATTATAATAGTACGTCGCGTGAATTACGACGAAATTATGATTCCGCTAACGCAATTTATGGCATTCGCTTGCTACAGATACAACGACAGCCCTTGCATACGGTGTTTCCAGCTGGTGCGGAGAGGGCGGAATATCATTGAGGTGTTCTCGGAAGCTCTCAACAGGTGTTACATAAACGAGACGGATGCCTCGCGCTCTTGTGGCGCACTGAACACCACGTCAATCCTGTACCGTAAGTAGAAGCCGGATTTCTCTCGATAATTTTACTCCCGAGGCAGAGACCGCGACCTATGACGTCGAGCTAAATACGAGCTGTACTTGGATAATGAATACGACCTTATGCGTGAAATGCGGGGCGATCTAACCGGACAATCCCGCCTTTTCCCACGCTCAAGCAGGATTATTGCTAATGCGAATTAACGCGACTTTTTGCACTTGCTGAATGAACTTTGATCGTGTGCTATATCTCGCCCGCTCGCCGAAGAAATGAAGCGTGGAAGTATAATGACGTTTCTGAGGCTGTGATATTATCTCCATCGAACGGAGAGACGGATAGTATTAAGAATCAATGTGATGTGAAACTAAAGTGTTGAAATAAACTAATGCAGAGGAAGAGATGGTAACAACAGAGATGTGTAAATTCTGCGCGCAGAGAATTTTCTCTGAAAATTTCTCCCGAAAATTATATCGTGGGACAACGTGGCATTTTGAAGAACTTTGTTTCACTAGTAAAATGTATGATAAAATTTCAAAAAAACTCATAAATTCTCCGAAATGCCGTGTTGTCCCGCGATCACGTGACTTTCGGGATAAATTTTAAGAGAAAATTGCCTCCGTGTATCGCACCATCTTCAACACTTCCTCCATATTAAGGAACACTTCATCTCTGTGAAAAATATATTCGCAAATCGCGTGGAAAAAAATTGCCGCGCTCTTTTTTTCTGCTAAACACAAATGTCACGAGACGGAGGGTAACATCGCGGCAACACGCGTTCGGTCGAAACAAATTAATTACTCGCATTCTTGCGCATTACTTACGCGCGTTTCATCGTACTCGAGGAATCCGCGGGCTTCCGGTTTATCGGACGGACGAGTTATAACGTGACCTCCGCGCACGGAGGAATCAAGTTCGGCGTCCTCTCCGGCGAATTAGTAGTCCTCGATAATTAGCGTTAATTGACCGCGGGGCGGGAGGAAGCAATGGAGTTTTGCGTAACGACGCGGGAACAATAGGCTTCGCGCCGCGCGCGTGCAAAAAAAGAACGCACGTCGCGTGCAGAACGCACACACGCCGCGCGAGTTTCTCACGTGCGTGTCAATTAAAACGCTCTTAAGGATGATTGGGCCGTTTGCATAATCGTTTATACTCCCCGCGAGGGAGGTACGCGGTGGTGCGATGCGACTGGCGAGGACGCGCCGAGATCGAAGATTGCGCGAACAGCGGAAGTGCCGTTTACCTGACTTGGGACCGGTTCTTCCAACCTCCTGGTAAGTTAACTATAATAGTTAAATTATATATATATATGTCCTTGTTTTTCCTTCAAATTAAACAAAGATAGACATATAATTTAGCTATCAATTAGCTTACGAAGAGGTTGAAAAATGCCGGCCCTTGGTGACACAAGAACACTCTTGGCAGCAAGAAAAACTCAAATTATATTTAAATAAATCTATTAAATATATATATATATAAAAGACGGATGACAACGTTTTTAAGATCATAATTTTAACTAATTAAGGCGGCTTCTGCACGAAGGAGCGGTTAGTACGGGTGCTTCGACGAGGCCCCTTTGATTTTTATGAATTCATATGACTTTTTTCATAAAAAAATATCTCTTAATGCATTAATGATTAAATGCATTGATACGCTAGGTTATATATGCACATTTAAAACGTATTTAAAAATATGTGATATTGTCGAGTCCCAAAGAGCTATCAAATTTCCTCAAAACATTGTACCTTTTGACTTTACTAATAAGTATTTGCTTGCAGAGGTCGGTGACCTCGTATACTTAATAGCACATTTGAATCCTTGTGACATCTATTATATTCATCTCGTTTTTTGTTAAGATCTACTTTTTCTATAAAATAACATTAACTCTCAAAGTGCTTCTACGAGCGCTCGGCCCGTAACCCCTGTCCCAGGGAACACCAAGTAATAGTTACATATTATCAATATTATCATTTCCTACTTAACAATGGAAATGTAATATAATATGCTTGTTACATTACATTTATCTTGTTGCGTGGGAAATTATAATATTGATGTTATGTAACTATTACTTGGTGTTTGCTGGAATGTTAAAACATACAACTTTAACATTTTTTCTTTCTTTTATTTCGTCGGCGACCGGGTCTGAAATTTCGCGCACTGATAGATAAAATTTACACCTATATAACAATATACTTAAATTTCACTTTTTTGCTACCTTTGGTCAGTTTATACAGGAGCCACCTTATGCAAGTGGGATTTTTTACTCTGTCTTGACAATCAATCTGTTATACAAACGGTTTAAAGATGCACTGTTTCTCCGAAAATTGTAGATATATTTTACTTCCCTGAAAAGGACCACAATCCGGATGGTCGAAACGTTGGAATGAGTTATTAAATAAACTACTTGGCCATAGTTTAAGCCATCAAGTAACTCTTCCTATTGTTAATCAACTACTGACGACAATAATATTCTTTCTCGTCATACATAAACAAAATTGATCCCTTACTCTGACAGTTTCCTTATGGAATCTCGTTAGATTTAAAAACGTAGACTGTTTTCACTCCACCACGGATCAGTAGAATAAGACTTTGCACACGGGAGACATTTCTTGGCAGAGCGACGGGCGAATTGTAAAATCATTTGGCACTACTTGCGCCCTCCAAACGCATAAGATTTTCGCACGTTAACGCATAGCAGCGCACACGCATTCGCGTTGATTGCTGTTGTTTCCCTAATGAAGATTGCTCGATTAACATCGATTCCTCGGCTTCCGGTGCATTATCACGCGCGTTCACCTGTGGCGGCTCCCAAGAAGCTGCGCACCTGTATTCGCGACGCAATCGAGACGGTCGATCGGCGGCGAGCTTGATTCCGTTCATAATCCCGGTTTCACGCTTTGATCCGTGTCGCTGCACGCGAGAAGCTTTGCGGGAACCGAAAACGCGAGCTGGTGGTCCGACGGAAGAACGTAATCGAACGTCCGTGCGTGAAGCGTTTTAGCGAATCTCTCGCGAGAGGATTCAGAAACGGCCTCGGTAAAAAAGCCGAACGGACAACGGGCAATCGCCGACGTGTGAAGAATTCGCATCTGGCGAATTTGCTCACGAAAACGCACTGGTATCGATATCTTTTTCAGTCTGAGGAAGAAGCTGAAGTTAATTGGAAAAAAAACCGATTTACTCGGCGATCGAGAAAACGCGCGGCAATAATTAGGTACCTTCTTTTTTTACTTTGAAGTGATCTTTCTTGGAAATTTCCATTTTAGTTTTTAGCGTTATTTCCGTAATAGCAATTTCTCAAGTACGCGTGTGTGCTTTAAATAATAAATTGTAATTATTAAAAGAATTTCCGATGAAAACACCCAAGGAGGATATTTTTACTTCACTTCGATTATCAGTTTTGGATTATTATTACATTATAATTATAATAATTTGACGTTTCGGGTCCTTCTATCTTTGACAAAGATCTGGGTCCATGTGAAAATAGAAGAGCGTTTCGGAAGAAAAAACGCCAAGAAGATGCGAAATGACTTCTCGCATTCTCACATCCAATCTTTGTCGCGTTCCATTCTTGTTTTCCTTTTCGCTTTCCTGTGGCCATGGTACACGCAGCAACCAGTATTGTCGTATTCGTCGGAAGCGTGGGAGTGGCCTGCTTCCCAAAGGTCCTCGTCCTGATCGTCCTGTCGCGGTATAAGCGAGGGACAACAATGTTCGCCAATAAAGGAAAAGAAATACTTTGCGAGTTTTTCGTTTCGTCAAATTACATTGTGTTGCTCGGCGTCGTTTGGAACTTTGGACAGTGCAAATTACAAAATATATTTGCATATGCATTCGGCAAAGGTAACTCCGTGCTGTGCCAACTTTTTATTCAACTCTCGTGAAGAAATACGCGTTTTAATTTTTTTTTAAATACCATTCATCAGTCTCGCGAATTTACCGTGAAATGAATAATTTTATTTACATTGCAAATGCTATGGTTTCATGTTTGCAGGAGAAACGTTAAAACAAGATGAAAAATGTGAAGTAAAATAACACTTTTACGTGATGCATACAAATTACTTTAACGTAATATGCAATTATTGAGTTTCTATTTATAGAGCTGTAAAAAGTATTACAGTAACTTAAGCTAACAATAAGTTACGCGTCGGGTATTTTTACGTACCCTTTTGTTTCCTACAGTTGGAAAGCAATTATGACTTATGCCATTCTATTCCGCGTCTCGTAAAAAAAAACCACAGCTTCATCGTCCCTCTCGTAGAACTGCTAACTTTAGAACGGCGCCGTAGATCGTGTAACAGCTGAAGAAACTCGCAGTTAAGAGTTAACTCAATATCGCTTTTTCCTCGCGTCCACCCTTGGCGAGCTGTTTTGCGAGGAGTCCGACGCGAGGCAGGTCGAAGACGAGGAAGAGAATCGCGCTCGTTCGCTTCAGTCCCGGTAATACGGATGCTCGCAATTACACCGGAGCACGGCGGAAAGTCGAGCGGGAAGAAGCGCAGGGCGGACGTGCAGCATTCGCGATGACGGTGGGATTACTTGCCACGCGAAATACGGGGAGGTAGGAGAGGAGGGTATAAATTTTGTCGAGACAAAAAATATGAACGACGGTTGATTCCGGGCTTAAAACAGAGTTTGTTCAAACGCAACCGGCTCTGTAATTATATGAATCGTAAATTGTCCTTATTATACGAACGGCGAGACAGCAACGCGGGGACTTTTACCGCGAACACTGCCCCTCTTCCTCCCTCGGTGGCAAGCACAATAAGCAGATAAAGCCTGGAGGGTCTACTGCGAGGCGATCGAGAGAGAGAGAGAGAACAGTTTGAAAAATAAATCCATGTTGTTTTCTTTTCTATCCTTTCTTTTTCGCAAGATATAATCGCGAGAAAACGACGAGGAAAGAACGGAAAGGTGCGAGGAAATAATATTTACTTATAGGATTTATTATCTTAGCCGCTTGGAGTCCATGCAACGATCTTTCTTTGAAGTTATTCTTTTGAGATTTTTTGAGTGGAGCCCTGAAACGAAACTGCTGGGCCTCCAAAGGCTTGAAAAGATCGCCGAGATATTGGCAAGATTATATTTATATTTATAAAATTATTAAACGACTCTTTTTCATTTCGTGGAAATATTTTCGAAGGCTTTACCGATGCATTCCTTTCTATTCCTTTTGTATTCTCGTCGCGACGCTAAAAATGGTTTAAGGGCGAGTGAAGGAAGCCGAAGCTTTTAGGTGAAAACGCGGTGTAGAATTTCAGCTACTTCCTGCTGAAATATCGCGTCCCTTTGTAGCTCCGTTGAAAAACGTAGGGATTATTTCGGAAGGATTGTCGCGGATAAAGGTACCTTCAGATTTCATCCTTCAATCTCGATTCATTCGATCTCACGTCTAAACGATTATGTTCAAACATGTTTTCTAATAAAAACACGAGATTCGTTCAAATCGTGATTCTAAATAGCACAGTGATTGCATTTTATTAACGTTCAGCGAATCCTTAACTAATTTCAAGCTTTATATACATATAATTAATAAATTATTCTTGGTCTTTCTGCCAACAGGAACGAAAGAATTCGAAGGTTCGCCGCCCCGGAATGAATTCTGCCCCATTGCCGGTCTTTATCACTTCAGGTATAGCATGAGGAATAATTCCGCGATCTCGTATGAGTGCAGCACGTTTTCCTCCGAGTTCCATAATTGCCCGGATGGATCGGTCTTGCAACTAAACTTCAAACGATGTAACTTCGAGACGCATGGTAAGTTCGATTACATTAATGTCGAAATGAAAAAAAAACCATACATATACGTTAACAAAAACGTAATAAATATTTGAAAAATAATTTGTACTTTTGACGAGATTTATTTTTAAATATTTGAGCAAGACAATTAATTGCGATCGGTTATTTTATAAATTTGACGAAAGAAAAATGTCACTTACAGTCGCCAGTGATGATTAAAAATTAAAGCGAGGAGCTTGTTGTCAATCCAACTGGCAAATTTTATTGAATTCGTTACGACGTTTCTCGACCTTACTTCAGATTCTTTTCAAGTAACGATACAAATAAGAAAACAAGGAAATTATTATCGTGACACATCGTTAATCTTGTTTCAGCAGATTACGTATACAATTGTTTGGGCAGTTGGCCTGGGCCGAATAATTCTAGATATTTTGTGCTTTCCGACAGCAACAATACAAACGGTAGCAGACCTCAATACAGATGCGGGGTGCGTAATAAATAATATGTCATAAGAGAGCAAGTGAAGTAATGCAATTGCTTGATATCATATGATTTTCGAGATCTATTATACGGACTTTACGTATAAGATTAATCATTAATAACAGCTTATGATAAGTAAAACGCGACTTTCAGCTATACCACGTTGATAACAAGAGAGGGAAAACTTACATGGCACTCAGCAGCGACTCGAGCTGCACGCAGAATTTAGATAATTCGACTAGTGGATACGAGACCTTGACTTTGAGCAAGAGCCTAAATCAGAAAAAGGTGCCGGATTTCGTCAAGACTCATGTTGCCACGTGAGTATGCCGAATTTTGCGATCGTTTAATTCATCAGACAATTTCATTCTTGTAGCTATTGGATAAAAATGTTTCTCCTTTAATCAATATTTACAAAATGCTTCCAATAAACAATATAAAACTAATTCGACCAGGACTGGCTAATTTATTACACGTTTCGGCCAATGTTTCTGATCCTTTTCGAGTGAGCTGGATTAATGTTAATAGTCATTGCTATCGACGGTCAAAAATTAAAAGAAATTGTCAGATGGAGGCGAGACTGAACTTTACACGTGTCAAAGCAAGTCCTGCTCACATTGGTCGAAACTGGTTGTGTATCAAATTTTAATAAATTAGCCAGTCGTGATCGACGAATTAGTTTTGTTTATTCAACACTGGCAACGCAGATGTAATTTTCAAATAATCAATATGTTTCTAATAATGTCATTAGATTCCCGAAGTGGGCGCAGGGGTTGTGGGAGAACTCGCTGATAGTTAATGGAACTATGACTTTCACCGATGTCAACGGCTACAATAGTTACACCTTCATCACGGTGGAGTCAAACGAGAAGCGTGACCGTTATATCGTGTACTCTACAGACCAATGGTGAGCAATCAATTTGGCCGCAAATGCTGCTTGTACCAAATACACTTTATCGAAAAGAAAGATAAACATGTAGAAATACGCTTGTTCTTACAACTTACATGTATATCAGAATATCTCTACCGACCTCCGTGACAGTCGCATGTGAAACGAGCATTTACCTTTTAATTTCAGCGAGCAGGCTGCTTATGCGTGCTTAATGATGAAGCAGCGCGGCGAAAACGTGCTGGAGTTTGCGTTAGGTAATTATTTCCTAGATCAACTACTCTGTATAATTTTTTATTACACGGCGACTCGATTGTTGTTAACGCTTCAGCAAGAACTTCAACATGATTTAATATTTGAAGAGTTTTCAAAAATAAAAATGTCTGATTTAATAAAGTCGAAGTAGCAAAATGAATGAAAAGAGTAATTGAAATGGTAACAGAGTCGTGAGTTTGAATATATAAAGATATAGAAAATCTTTGTCATTTTCTGTTTTTTTTTTTGCTAATCTCTGTCCATCTTTAGATTGCATTTTGTTTTTCGCGCAATAATACAAATAATATTACACACATATACGGGGATAATACATATATTTTATATATAGGAACGAACCTGTATCCAGTATATCAGAGTACTTTGTGCGATGATTCCAATTTCGGAAACTTGGTATGGATGACTCAAACACGTAAGTTGAAATGTTGACAGCTTTATAAATCGTCTATGCATCCTCATGAATTCTCTATTCTTCTAAGATAAAGGTTCCTAATAATGAATTGCACTTTGAAAGTGTAGTTATTTGATACTTAAATAATTTTTAAGGTGCCGATCGTTTGGTGGAGTCGTCCTGTCCAATTACGGGCCGATACACAGGAATGATACCAGATGCACCGGGAATGTGTACCGAATTGAGCAGCAACTGTAACAATCGTGAAATAATGTACTTTAAAGTGAGCGACTGCGCATCTGGCACGCTGTTCGAAAGTATGAATAAAAGTATTTTAAAAAAACGTCAAATTAGAAATGAATAAGAAAAATATAGATTTAACGCAATTTTTTCAAGTGATTACGATATTGTTTAATTTAGCTACTTCTGATCGACATTTTCATCTAAATTTTAGTAATCAAATCAGTTTTATTTCGAGCAATTTAATTTTTGGACATTCGAGATGTTTAGAAAAGGAGCTAAGAAATATCCGAATTGACCGGGGAACACTTCACGTTCGTCCTAACAAGTTCTTCTGTATTTATATCTTGAAATAAAGATTATTCAAATTAGTCTTAAACATCCTACGTTATTTATATAAGACGTCTTTTCTTACGAAACACTTTTGTTTGTTATTTTTAGAACGGACATATCACTGCCTGGGACAATGGGAGGAGAAAGGCTTAATATATGCCTATACTATGAAAAACGTCACTGCACAGAGTGAGTGCTTTGTAGGCAAGATCGTCAACGAAGAGGAGCTATACATCGCGGAGGCTGGCAACCATTGCTTACGAAATATAGATCCCAAAGTGCAGGGGATGCGTCTTTACAGAAAGGGTAAGCGGTGTTACGAAAGCGCTCTCTTATGAGGCGCACTTACTGATACATTCATGTTTCTAATGTGAACGGGTCTACGATGCGCGACTTTTATATTATGACAATGTTATTTAAGGGCATTGCTACGGGAACTCGCCGAGTCCTGCTCCGATAATACCGATTCCTCATAATCCAATAATGAGGATTACGACTCCACGATCGAGGACATCGGGTAAGTTAGACAAATTAATGAAGTTCAATACTTAAAACTTAACTTTTTATTTCAAATGATCTATAATATTATTCAATTTATGATTTTCTCAAATCACAAAAATATATACTTTTTATAAATTCAAATCTAATTTATTTAGCTAATTATTACAATTATATCCCATTGACAATAAATTCTTCATGATTTATCGAGATTAAAATTAATTAAACAATAACCGAATTAATTGATTTTCTTATTTTGTTTGCAGATAATACTCGAGTACCAGAAAATACAGTTTCTTCGTCAACTCTCCTCAGATCGACAACGTCCACGAGTTTCATGCTTCTCATCTCTGTGATCATCGCGCTTCTCGAGGCAGCTTTTCCATACGCGCCCGAATAATGACACCATTTTTACAAGTTTAATAGTGATCTAGCTAACAAATGACACCTTATGTATACACATTGCTGCAGTTTCATTATTCGTATCTAACGGATAATCGAGACGTATGCCAGTTACTTGCGAAGAGCGACGTGAAACGATATTGTAGAAAATGGTAGCAGAGATGTATATCGTATTTTTTCATCTCACGCATCGCGCGTTTTGCGAGTTTGTTTCTTTTGTAGAAAGAATATAAATTCAAAAAATTGCGACCTGCACCATCATACAAGCATTAACGAACGCACAGGAATTTTTCCAAAAAGAGAAAATTTTATGACTGCAAGCAAATATTTTTTATCGATATTTAAGACGTGACGATACATATTTAGAGCTGTAATTATACCGTGAACTCTTCGCCGATGATGAAGTTGTGATTGATTCCTATTGTAAATTATTAATTTAAATAATTTCGATAGAACGATACACACAAATTAGGTCTCAATAATTTGGGCACTGTCTTGTAAAACATAGACATTTTCTCGTGATTGTTCATGAAAATCCAAAGAACCGCTGCTTACGTGTAAATAAATATTTTTTCTTCTTTTTACGAAACGAACATCACAGATCGAATATAGAAAAATCAAACTAAAGATAAAGCTAAACCTAAACGTAAAAAATAAAAGTAATCTCTTAGTAATCTTGTGATAGTAAATTCAGTTTACTTTGAACATCTGTTCTTGCAAAGGTGAAATTTTGCAGGAATTGACATCAAACTTGTTTTTCTTAAATCAAGCACGATTTGTCAGACATCTCTTACTATTTAGAGTAGTCAGAATGGTGATATTTTTTTTCTATGATAATACAAGTAAAATATCTCTTAATGTCCGTAGAGCAGAAAATGCGCCATAATGAAAAACAAAATAGCTTGACATAGAAAGATATATGAATTATACAGTTATATAAGACTGACTCAAAGCTACTATTTTAATATGTATGGTTCAATTTCTAGTTTTCTTTCTCCTCCATTAGAGATAAATGATTCTAACAGATGTACATTCTTACTCAATACGAAGGAAAGTGTGTTCTCGCGAACAACACATATCAATATTATAGAAAAACAGAAATATTATAGAAAACAATTAAAAACTCGTCTATAAAAATGCCAAGAAAATTGAGTAACGTGAGTGAAAGTGTTGCTTCTTACTTACAGAGTTACGATATATTTTAGCATATTTATATACAAACGAAGAGGAAATTCACGAAGAGTGAAAGTAGACATTAATATTCAGAAAAGGTTTGATACAAAAACGTAATAATAGAGGCAGGGAATTAGCTTGTACAAAAGAACAGTTTCATAAAAAAATACTTTTTAATTACAGCACCGTTTAAACACATATCAAATTTGATATCGCACAAAAATATAATATCTGGACACAATCGTGTGAAAAGTGATATAAAATTTGTCTCGTTATACATGGTTCTTACTCTCGCATTTAGGCTAATACGAAAAGTAAAAATAGGTGTATATACATGTGTAAACTCGTCGATTATTTATTAGTGTACAATATTAATAGCGAGGCAAATTTTAACGAAATATACATATATTATACTTAACTATAATTTGTACAGAAGATTACAATGTTTAGTAATCTTGATATTTCATCTTTTCCTATCAATGGAAATTTGGTTTAATATGTATTTTTCGGTATTTAATGTAACACTAATTGCGATCAAGGTTACTCCGTAATTTCGAGCGAAGATGTATAGTTGTATAATAGAAACAAATAAGCAATACTAAGAAATGTATAAGGAATGCGTTACAAAATTCGAATGTCTCGGATACGATTTGACAAACTGCAGGAAATTTTTCAGGAGCGAACGCAAATTGCAGCAATTGCAACACCAATTCGAAATATCATCAGTAGCCAGAAGTAAAAATATTAATAAGAAAGTACGTACGTATAACAAAGGACTGGACCGCTGTTATTTATACCTGCGTTTACAGATGAAAGTACTTAAATTTAACAAGATTATATCCCTAACGAGCCACGCAGAAACATGTACATATATAAATATAAGTGACAATAAGTGACATTTTTATGGAATACCGCGAATCAAGTGAGATCGTCTTCACAGAGGATGCGCGAGCACTGTATTTTATTACACTAACGGCAGGAATTTTGTACTCTTACAAGATTCGATGTGAGAAAATAAACATTTATCACCTTTAAGCACGCCATTTGATCCATCCAACATCCACGATGATGAAAGGAACAATACATATATTTGTGATTTACGCACATCTTAGGAATATAAGAATAAAAGAAGATAAAATATGTATATAAACATAAAATATAAGAGAAATACAATAAAACGATAAGAGAAGGTAGGAAAAATATAGATATAATCGTAAATTACAAAGGAACGTTCAGATCAACGGAACATCAAAACGGAGAGAGCTGTCTTTCGTATTCCAGGATAGCATTTTTCCGTTTCATTCCCCAGGCATACTTGTTGCCACATCCACGGGCATATATGCCCTTCGGTACCACGCGATGACACGGCACAGCGTAGGCGACGTAATTCTTGGAGATGGCACTTCCCGCCGCTATCGCGGCCCTGCAGTTCGCCATTCGCGCAACCTCCTCGTACGTGATGGTCATACCCTGAGGGATTTCCGTCAGCGATCTCCACACTTTAATCTGGAACTCGGTGCCTTTCATTAGGACGCCAACCGAGCGAAGCTGAGGGCCAACGGGATTAAAGATCTTGACGAGGACAGTCAGCGTCTTGCGTCCGGTGTCCTCCGACAGTCCAGTCAACGGCCATTTCACCTTCAGATCCTTGAGAGCCTCCGTCTCGTCGTCGTCGTCGACGAACGTTAGATACGCCACTTCCTCGTCGGTGTCGGTTATGGCGACGAGACACCTGCCGAACGGTGTGTGATGGAACGCGTATAGCAGCTGGAACTTCATGTAACAGCTCTTGTACGCGTCCACCGTAATGCCGCGAAATGTAACCATAATTACGTAACGACCGGGGAATCCTGGATGCAGATAATGTAGTCGACAAGTGTCGGAGCAACGTTGAAAACCAGACGAACAACAGCGTCAACAAAGCAAAGTGCTGGTACTCGGGTGTCAGTCGATGCCGGTAAGCCGGTATCTGCTTCTGCGCCGCGGATCAAGTGATCTGTGATTGGCCAAATCCATTTCTTCGCTCCGATTGGTCCTTTCCACAGTATCGTATCATTATGAAGGTGCTTGAAAATTTCCTCACTCACATCTAGGTCTCAATTCTGCATCTTACAATATAATAGAAATGTTAAAAGCGGTTTTGTCTCTTTCTAAGGGGACAGTTAAAAAGAGACAAAGCTACTCACTTTTAGAATTTTCACTATTCTAATCAACATCACGAGCGCTGCTATATAGGCCAAGTGGCAGAATCACAGATTAATAGACAGATCGCCAAAGGTCCGGGTGAAGACGAGACAAATACGAGTCTTACTAATTATCGGTAATTACTATTATTATTAATAATTAATTAATTGCTTACTATTTATTGATCTCAAAAAATATTAATATTGAAAATATTAGAATTGATTCTGCTCATTCTCTAATTTTCTTCCTCAAGAAATGATGCTCCGCTAAATAACTTTTAAAAAATTTGTTTTATTGTAAAGTCAGGCATACATTTAAATATTAATTAAAGTCATGTGCAGGAGGGAGGGGGGAAATTGATTAATACCGATTTATCAAGTGTGAACTGTCAATTCATGAATATATTTGTGTAATACAAGAATTATAAGGCTTATGCGTACAAATCAAAATGTTCCACTATTACAAATATACACCAATTCGACGTTGTCGGGTGAGACGCCCGCCTAGAGTGAGGGAGGTCCAGGTTCAAACCCTGGCTGAGGTATTATTTTTTGCAATGAATTTCTTTAATTAGAATTTGCCAGCCATGGGTCGTCATGCAATTTTCTACATTGGTTAAAAATGAAAGTAAGAAAATTAATTTTTTTAATAAGTTTAAAAATTTATATTTTTCTTACAATTAGGTAGATTTACCAAGAGATAAGTAAGAAAAGCAGTGGAGGCGTGCGCGTTAGCGCGCTCTGCGTGTTAATCCTTTCTAAAAAAAGAGATGTTACCGGCATGAATGTCGTTAATATCGAACAGTTGAGACTCTTTTTCGCGATGCCGATTGGTTTTCTCGAAGTGCGATATGCTTTACTTCTCTTTTAGATTCGTGTCATGCTTCACTTCGTATGTGAATTTGGACAGTTGTGAAAAATATACTTAAAGAAAGTTAGAGACTAAACAAAAAGTTAAAAAAAGAAGTTACAGTTAAATATATAATTGGGTGAGGGAGAACGAAAGAAATATTTCGCGCGATCAAGAATTTTGTGGCTCGTATAGTCCCCGCGTTAATATTACCAAGCTATCGATTAAGCGCAGTCTCAATTTCGTCGGATCAGCCGTTGTTGAGATCCGAAAATCTGAGGGCCCGTCAACTCGTGTACTCGCGTAAACGTACACGGTCGGTCTCGCACGCGTGTACTTACACTTGGCGCGAGACACTACCGTGTCTCGTGATTCAAGTATACACCCACAGAAAATATTTCCGGATCCAATGCTATTACACTTCAATATATCATTCAAAAAAATCGATATAGCGCCAATCATATTTATTATAAAAAGAAAGGAATATTTTAATCCTAAATGCAAAATTCTCAAATCTAGAATAAAGTGATAGTATGTATCGTCTTTTGTCGAATATCGTGGTGTCAAGATGAAGGGAAAATTTATTCTAAACTCAAGAATATATAAACTTACATTTATATAAGTTACTCTGGTCTCAATATAGTAAGTCAATCTTTTTTAATTCGATAGAGGAAAATAAGAATTATTGATTTAATTTTGGTATTGTCTTATTTTCATCCTAAATGTGGTTGTGAGAAATATAAATGCGTCAAGAATATATTTTTACCAGTAATAGAAATCCTTTTTGAGTGTGCGGCAAGACAGTTAATCGTTAATTTATTTAATACCAACAAGTCCGCAGAATGATATGCAAAACGTAGTAAGAATCACGGAACGAAGTAATGTAAAATATTAAGTATAGTATAGAATTTTCAATTTCGTAGGCGGGACAACGAACTCTCAACGTTGGTTGTTGTTTTTCTCCTGTTTTTTGCATGTTTTTCTCTTCGCGCGGTAACGTGCGACGTGACGCGGGCCAATGTTTGCCCGGAGCCCCCGGAGGTCACCGCGCTATCATTCGCCCGCCGAACGTCGTGCCGGCAGGCAGCATCGCGAGTCGCTCCGTGTGTCGTATTACTTTGGCGTTATCGATTTCCAAGACGCGATCGCGACGAATTTGGAGATAAAACGCTATTGATTTGTACACGTATATTATTAACAAGTAACGTTCATCGACTAAATATTAGATTTTACGGGACTAACTCATCTAAGATATGAACGCGAACCGTGGTACTTTGTCGCGGTTACATATCGTTTACGCACCGCGCCTTTAAATTATCTGTCGATTTCGCGTAATCTGTTTCATTGTCGGGAAAGGAGAAAGAAATTTGTGTAGCTTTGTCGTTCTTCGCAACTCGAACAGGCAGGGAGTAGAGAAAGTCGCTTATCGCGCGTTATTACATTATGTAAATGTAATCGAAAATTATCTTGATTAACTATTGCAATTAATAACAACTATCGCCGGAGGTTTCGCTCACATAATTCACTTGGAGGATTAGACTGAATGACAGTAAAGATTGTAAAATATCGTTTCGTTGCGGACTAATAACTACTTCTTTGTCGCGGATTCCGATGCTCGCGTTGCGTTGTACATCGCTAATTTAAAAGTGAAAGTCATGCGTTACTTGTTAATAACATTTCGTGCGTGTCGCGGTATTTCACATCGCGTACGGGTGTGCCCGAAATTTCGCGCGATCGATGATTTTCGCGAGTGAGCGTGAGTGCAACAAGGAAATTTGAGAGGATGAAGAGGCCTGAGAGGCATCGGGCAACGACGCAGTAATCGTAAGGTGAGTGTTCTACATTTTTATATTATTTGCTACTTGTGCAAAATAAAGCATCTATTCTCTGTTTTTGTTCGTTCAAATAATTCGAACGAGGATTTGAATAAGTGTTACGGACAAAACTATACACTGAAAAAAAAATCTGGTAGATTCAACCAGACGTCTGTTAGAAAATGGACGAATCAGAATTCCTTTAGGATTTACCATGAAAGATATTTCATAACCAGAAGTTTGGTAGAGACTTCACTACAAATCTAGTAAATCCTAAAGGAATTCTGATTCCAAGGGGGTAACCACTTAATGAAACAGTGTCTTCAAAATCATTATGAAATCCTTACGGAATCTCCATGTAATAGGTTTGCCTTCATTTTCAAGTTTCTTCACTTGTTAAACAATGAACACTACATTTGAACATTTTCTAAACTTGTTTCTAGTTTCCCAAAAGATTTACTTCTTTTAGTGAATATCCAAATATATATCGTAGTCCACGCGTGTAACCGCGTATTATTATTTTCATAATAAGACTGATATAGGACAGTGAGTTGATAGACCTTTGCGCGCAAATCTACAAGCAAATACTTATTAGTAAAATAAAAAAGAAATAATGTTTTGAGGAAATCTAACAGCCCTTAATAACGTCGCCCATTTTTAAACATGGATATAAGAAAATTATTTGCAATTAGATGAAATTATTTGTAATCAGATGAAATCGTATAAAATCTAATGAAATAAAGTAATCAGTGGGACAACATTTTAGCTAGTGGTTATCCCCTTGACACATACAATACCTTCTTTGCACGTATACAAATTTTTAAAAATATACAATGCCTAAATATAAACAGCGCTTTGAAATTTCTATTATTATTAAATACGTCATGTTGCACAATATACACTTAGACTTGAGAGCAATTTTGGCAGTCAACGTAAGTCGTGCATCCATTAGAGTCTTAAACACATAGTTCTGGCTTAAAAGACCAAAACATTGAAAAGTGCAAACTGATTTACTAACTTCACGCTGCAAATCACTTTGTTCCCGGATGATTTCCTAATTATTTCTGCTAGGATTTTTATTGCATGAGAGTTCTACAATAGTTTTAGAAAGAGTTCTGGCGAAAAAACATAGTTTTTATAATTTAAAAAATTTTTATCACTACAAATATATCCTCATGGAGACAAAGGTGATTTGCTGTCCGAAATAACAGAGTTCTGACTTTCTACAAATAGTTGTCGCATAATTCCGAACATATTTAAGCATTTTCTACAGAGTTCTATGCAGTAGAACCGATAAATAATTTTTTAAAAATTAATACTGTCCGAAAAATGTCTAAGGCAGATAGAAATGATTTGCTATCCGAAAGGACGGAGTTCTGGCTTTATCTAAATAGTTCTCATGTAGTTCCGAACATATTACAGTATATTCTAACCAGATGTATGCAGTGGAAGCAATAAATAATGTTTTAAAAAATTAATACTGCCCGAAAACTGTCTTTAAGGCAGATAGAGATGATTTGCTGTCCGAAATGACAGAGTTCTGGCTTTATACAAATAGTTCTCTATGATGATTACGGATCGTGACAATTACTTAATAAACAATAAACACGATAAAATGAAATTGTAAAGAAAAGAGGACCGCCGATCAAAATCGGCGGGGGTGGTGGAGGGCCTCTACTTTGTTGGTCTGTTTTTATTGAATAAAAATTTAATTCTAATAAAAAAAGAGGTATTAGTTTATTTATAACTAGAACAAGGCAAAGTTTAATTTGATCGGAGTGCAAGCGTATTGATTGTCCGATATAAACGGAGCAATCTTGTATGTACAAAAGAATGTTTAAATAATTTTCTAGTGAATATCCAGAACTGTGTGCTACAAATTTTATTGGCAAAAAGAGTACAAGTTTGATACAAAATCTGACACATTTAATTATATCAAAATGCTAGTAGAAATAAAGCATGTCAATAAAATATGACGATTAATGATAAAAAATCAAATTTTAATATACTTGCTATACAGTCTAACATAACTGTATTGTTAGCAAAATATTTAGCAATTATTTATATAATTTATATTTCAGTATTTTACTTTTTATTCCATTGTACGTCAGTTTCATGATAAGAGCATA